CTATTGGCTGATTTTTTATAATACTTATTTGGTCGAATTGAAGCTGATTTATGATGGAATTTATATTCTGAATTGATGTTGAATGGTTATATCAGATTGAGTTGATTGGCATCAATTTGTCAAAATTGAAGCCGATTTATGATAGAATTTATATTCCGAATTGATGCCGAATATTTTTATTGATTGGCGTCGATTTATATTATCTGTTTGGGTTAATCAGCATAGATTGTGCCAATCAGAAAATAACAAACCTGCTGAAAATAGTACTAAAATCAGCCTAAATTCAGCCATCCGATTTATAGCCGATTTGGACTATTTTGACCAGTGATTTTTTTAATAATAAATACCATCTTCAACTTTCAGGATAGCATTTTGTTATTATCATATAAATTAATAAAAAATTAATTTTTTATTAATAAATGTCGTGTCTGACTTTTAAGACAGCATTATAATATAAAAAATTAAAAAAAATTAATTTTTTTAATAATAAATGCACCTTTGACTTTTGGGGTAACATTTTAATATAAAAATTAATAAAAAATTAATTTTTTTATTAATCAATGTCACATTTGACTTTCGGGACGGCATTTTAATATAAAAAATCATTAAAAATTTAATAAATGCTGTGTTTGACTTTTAGGATAGCATTTTTTATTTCAAACCCAAATAAATTGGAACTAAATCTAAATCTGTATTTAACGGATTGAATCTGAATTCAAATCTGAATCTGTCAGATTAAATCAAATTTAAATCTGCAGATATATTATATATATTAAATATATCAAAAATATCAGAAATGTCAGACTTGTCAGATTTGTCAGATTTATCGATCATTTACGTCATATAAATCTCATCACATTTTATCTGTTTACAGTAGTTTAGATATTAACTAAACTAGCTTTAGTTATTCTAAACTACAAAATTTCGAATAGTAATACTAGTTGCAATTAATTTTGATCTATATATGTTATAACTTATAATATTGTAACTTATGTTGCAACTAGGATTTTGCAATTCGATTTGATATTTGAATATTCAATTTGAAAATTAAATCAAATATAAATTTAAATTTAAATTTGATTTGATTCGATCAAATTCAAATCAAAAAATGATTTATTTGATCAAATTAATATTTGATTTGATTCGAATCAATAGTAAAGCTATCTTTAAAATTTTAGAAGTAGTTTATACTAAGAAAACTATCGTAAAAAGTGCTTTTGCACTTCAGAAATACCTTTTTTACTAAGAAAACTATAGCAAAAAATGTCTCCATAGCTTTAAAAATGCCTTTGCAACTTTGAAGACGTTATTTACTAAGAAAACATAGTAAAAAATGCCTTTGCTACTTTGAAGACGCTATTTTACTAAAAAAATATGGTAAAAATGCCTACTAGACTTTGGAGACATTTTTTACTAAGAAACCTAGTAAAAAAATGTGTTCGTAACTTCAGAAATATTTTTTTATACTAATAAAATAGTTACGAAACTAAGATGACAGTTATTACTAAGTTATTACTAAGTTTTCTTAGTAAAATTAAAGCTGTGATGGCAGTTATTACTAAGTTTTCTTAGTAAACTGAAGCTGTAATAGTGGTTATTACTAAATTTTCTTAGTAAATCTGGTATTGCAGAGTTATTTTACTAAATTTAATAGTAAAAATTCATCTGTTATTAAACTTACTTTGTAAAAATATCTTTGAAATTTTTTAGTGCAATTACTAATAATTTTCTTAATTAAAACTTTATAATAACTTTATTTTAATATATCATTGTAAAAATTAAAAAAATTTTATATTTGATCTGATTTGATTTAATTTGATTTGACAAATATTTGATTCATTAAATATTTAATTTCAATTTGATTCAATTCAATTCAATTTGAAAAAATTAATCAAATTTAAATTGTTTAAATATCTGATTTGATTCAATTTTGAGGAACCCTAGTTGCAACTAATTTTAGCTTATGTTGTAAATTTAAATTAATTGTTATATCATTTTTATAAAAGATACTTTTAAGAATAATCAGTATCATAATTTGCTTCTATTAATTAATTTTATAAATTTAATTTTAAAATTTAAATTCTATTTTATTTATAATGAAATTCTATGATCTATATTATAATGATCTGCTATAGATAACTTAATTATTTTCTATAATGTTTTATTTCTTATTTCTTCATTTCTTATTCTATTCTATTTTCATTGTATGTTACTTTCTATTTTATATCATTTCTTTCTATTTTTACTCTTACTCTTTTCTTATTCTATTTCATTATTCTGTTTTTACTTGTATTATTCTTATATTACATAAGCTTTTATGTGATCTATTCTATCAATGCTAACTATTATAATTTTTGTGTCAGCAGATCAAGATATTTAAAATTAAAATTAACATAAAAATGTTTTTTTTAATTAAATTTTTTATTTTATTATTCAAGTTGTTTTTGGTATAAGAATTGCATTATAAAAATTACATTTATCTTGAAAGTTTTATAAATTTCTGTGAGTTATAAATTTATATTATATATTTAATGTATCATTTTTTATGTTTAATACAAGAAAATGGTTATAAATAAACATAGAATTCTTTAGTTATAATATATATTTTTTTCATTAATTAAACTTGTTCAGCATATTATAAAATATTAATTATGTACACTCCCTACAAAAAAACATCTGACCACCCTAAAAATTACAAAAAAGACAAAAAATCAGTATTTTAAATAATAAATATATATCTATTTTTAAAGTTTAAGACACTAGTTAGAAGTGTTTTTTAACTTAATTGATAGTGAAAATATTCAATTTTCAAAAAGGGCAAATTTCTCAACTTTTTAACCAGAATAGTTATAGCAAAATAAATGCCAAATGTATAGCTTATGTTCCTAAATCTGCTTTTTAAAAATCATCAAAATTCGGTAAAAATGATGAAATTCACAAAAATTAACGATATTTGAAAGCAGATTTTTCAACAATTACTGATCTGATCTTTCTGATTTTTGAAACATAACCCTTTTAGCATTCATTTTGTTATACTGTTCTGATTAAAAAGACAGAATTTTTTTCACTTTGAGAATCAAATACTGCAAAATTTTACTATCAGAAGTGAAAAAACACTTTCAAATAGGTTTTTATACTTCAAACATTATAATAGATATAAAATTATATCAGAAACCCGATTTGTTTTTTAGTTATTAAGGTGGTCGGATACTTTTTGTACTGGAGCAGTTATCAAAAATATTGACATCTCACGTGACTTGTAACATCTAGGTATTAGTTCACTTAATAAAAAAAACCAAAGAATTCTGTTTATTTATATCTGAAATCTTGTATTAAAACACGAAACTGTTGCATTAAAGAATTTAATGACTCATCGGATATTTATAAAACTTTCAATGTATGTATATGTAATTCGTTACGACGCACAACTTTACTTATAAAATTGTTTGAAATAATAAATAAAAGTTTAATTTGAAGAACATATTTCTGTCGAATTTTTAATTTTAAATGCCCAGTGACTTTTGATACCCCAATGTACAATATTATCTTTATATCAATTTATTAACAATATATATTTGGGTTTGAAATAACCCATAAAAAATTTTAAAAATTTGTAAAATAGAATGTCATCAAAAATATTTTGCTGCTGAATATCAGTTATTTTTTGATATTAAATATTTATAAAATGCTTCAATATAATTTCAAACAAAATCAACATAAATCCCATTAAGAATAACATAAGCCGCCCATGCTCCAGGATCAGGAACCTATAAATACCGATTAAATAATGAATTATTTCTTCAAAATTTATGAAATTACCTTTTTTTTAAAAAAAAAAAAAAATAATATTTTACCCGAGCTTCTTTAATGATATTTTCATCAATATACGTTGATCTTCCCAATCTAGGCTTTAATCCTTTAGTGTATTCTGCACCCGTTTTTGCTGCTTCAATTGCATCTTTAAAAGCTGATAAGGTATTATTATCCGTTGAGTAAGTATCTGTAAACGTTGTTATAAATGGGATTATTACATCCATCATAGTACGATCTCCCTTTCTTGCCGGTGTATAATTTTGCAGTGTACTTAATGCAGACTTGAAATATTAAAAAAGCATTTAATCATATACATTGTATGTTATAAATATATTTTATTGTTTTTTTAAAAAAAAAATACCTTTAAACTCGCGCCGAAACATTCACCGTCCACTATAATCTGATTTTTTTTAATGCTAATATCTTCTTTCATTTTAGCCTCGACAAAATATCTCAAACTGTTTGATAGTGCACTAATAAATAAACTATCAATTTAAAAAATCACGTTAATAAATTATAAAAAAAAATTTTTTTCTTTATAACGCATTGAAAATTAATTAATTTATCAATTACCAATATAGAAAGCCGCTAGTTCCACCTCTTGCTTCTAAGAAGTTGCTAATTTTCATCAAACCTTCTGAAAGATCATTTGTTACAATTTGGCCTTCCTCCAAAGCTGCAAGGATATCTATATAAACAAAGGGTTAGTTGAAATATTTATAAGATACGGATATTTATAAATTTTTTTTAACCTGTTGCTCCATATTTCAGCGTTATACCACAATCTCCATCTCCAACAATTGTATCATACTTTGTTATTTCTGGTTCGGCTTGAATAAGAGCGTTACAAGCTGCTTTGATTGTAGATTCAAACAATTGTGGGTCCACTAAAAAGGAGAGAATAAAAAATATTAACTTAATCAAGACAATCTAGAACTAAGAAATAATCCAGAATAATTACCATTAACAATAAAAAGCTTTTCTTCCTTTTTTTTAACATTTGAATGAGAAATTTTTTCATCTAAACTAGAATCTAAATTTGAAATATCCACTTTTATATGATTAATCCAACCTGGTGCTTCAGCGCTTTTATCCAATAGAGGAACTACATCCAAATTTTTTGGTAACCTTAAAATTGACAAAGAAACTCCGGGCATATTAAGAGAGGTCATAAAATGTCCAACATAAACTCTTTTTATATAAAATTTCTTTTCAACTAAAAAAAAAAATTATTTATTAGCGTATAACTAGAAAACCTAAACGTTAAAATGGTGATTAACAAACCTAAATAACTAAGAGCATCATTTACAACTACATAAAGCTCAAGTGTAGAAATACCTCCAAGATTATTAATTAATAAAGCAATTTGATCTTTTTCGGGTTTGATATCCAAGAAAGATCTATCCGCATCCTGGGTAATGATAGTGTCTAACATCTTTTGTACAAGTTTACGAGATGGAGGAAGTGATATCTTTTGAAATCCAGGTTCACCATGAATACCCATTCCCAACTCGATCACATCATCAGGTAAAGATGAACCTTGAGTTGTTCCTGGAATTGTACAACGATCAAACGCAACACCAATGGTTCCAATATTTTCAGCAACAAGAAGAGCCGCATTCTTTACTTCCTCAAGGCTTGCCCTAAAATTTAAAAATTAATAAGTAAAATTTCAAATTCTTTTAAAAAAAAGGAAAAAATTTCTATTTATGCTATACCCTTTAGCAGCCATAGCACCTGCAACTTTGTGCACCAAAATCGTACCGGCCAAACCTCTTCTACCAACTAATCCACCTTGTTGTCTTCCAACCCCAACATCATCTCCAACAACAATGAGTTCAACTTTAATTCCTTCAGCTTTTGCTTTTTCAGCTGCCAAGCCAAAATTCAAACAATCCCCTGTATAATTTTTTACAATTAATAGGGTACCATGAGTTGATTCTACACGACGAATTGCTGCCAGAATTTGAGAAGTTGATGGAGATGCAAAAATATTCCCTGATACCGCAGCTGAAAGGAGACGAGGTCCAACAAAAGCTGCCTAAAAAAACTATGTAATGAATGACATTCAAAGAAATAAAAAGAAATTTAATTTTAATTTTTACATGTGTTGGCTCATGACCAGCTCCACCTAATATGAACAAAAGAAATTAATACATTATTTGAAATTATCAATCAATAATTTCATAATTATAAACCATACCTCCAGAAATCAAAGTAACGTGTTTTTTTCTAATATCATCGATATCAGCCCTATAGACAACTTTTGAATAAAACAAATTTAAAAATATGCGTGATCAAAGTTAATTTTTTTTGAAAAAATAAATCTTTATTTACTTTTTTCCTTTTCAATAAATCTTAATGAGGGATAAGACAAACAAAGTCCCTGGAGAGATTCAACTACAATCTTTTGTTTAGAAATTTTGCAAAATTTACAATTTAAATTAGTTACTGTATTTCAATAAATACTTGATATGAATTAATATAATACAGAACTTTATTTGGATCATTAACGAAATGCTTAGGACGACGTGTATGTAATTCTTTCAAAAATTAAAAAAGGTTTATTACTTTTATAAATCATATATCGTAAGATGTTTAAAGAATTTTAAGAATAAAATACCATTATTTGAAGATGCCATTAATATAAGATGGAAAGAAGATAAATCTCATTTATTTAAGATCTGTGTGACAATGAGCTGCATCTTTTGTTTACAGTTAAATAATAAAAAACAAATCGACATACATACACCATTATGAATCTGAAGGTTTTTCTCGGGAATTATGTAAAATTTTATATAGATTGATACAATTCAAAGTAGATACCAAAAAATTAGAACCTACATTCGGGGAATAATATTATGATGAAAGTTAAATTATTATACTGTATATACAAATTATAGGGAGGATTTCAAACCAAGGTTCTAAACTACTTCAAATATATTTTTTCGCCTTAAGACCGAAAGTAAGTCATTTTAAGAGTATTAAAATTTTAAAAATTATCTAATTTTCTATTTGTTTAAATAGAAACCTGTTAGACTTTAAATTTAAGTAAAGCTGATAATGTTATTATTAAAAGAGAAAACCGATCCTTGAAATGATGATTTATCCAAAATATGTAAATTAAAAATTTAAATATTTCTACTAAATTATTTCTTTATTTTTAAAAAAATTAATTAATATAAATAGCTTTTAGTAGATTAATTAAAAGATCCAATCTTTCAGATAGATTAAGAATTGGCTTAAGATTTAACAAAGTTCAATTATCCATTTCCAAACCAACAGCTTCCAAGAGATTTGGCCGTATTATGGACAGTTCCATCCTTAAAAACGATCCTAATATTTTCAAACAATATTGGATGGGGTCTTGGGCGGAGAACACGAGCAATATCATGTTGTTGGATGAATTAATATCTCCAATGATATCAAGTTTAAATGTAATATTATTACTAAGGTTGAATTCACGAAATATCTTATCTGGTAGAGAATTTTTAGCATAATTAATGTTGGCTAAGGAAAAGGTCAATGATCAAATGGGGTACATCTGATGTGAGTGCTGCGGAGAGTCCGGAACTCCGACATTTGGTGGTTACGATGTTACACGAATTCATGACTGTTTGTCGGAATTATAAATTGTTTTAATTTTAATCTACTTTTTTTTAAAAAATAAACTATTCGCGTTTTACCACAAGTAACAATGTAAGGTAACTCACGTGATTCGTTAATGGAGTAATTACCATATTAGGTACATATGTTTCACAAAGTGTTGTTGTGTCACGTCTTTTTTAAAACCAAATCATTCAATAAATAGGATGTCTCGAATTTGTTAATTCATAGTTTTCAATCTCTCACCTCCTGATCTGTTCCTTTCGATTGCAAATTCTTTCATTAAGTAGGAGTGAAAATTTTTATTATCATTACATGATGAAACCGAAAGGAGAACAACCTGTTGCATCTACCTCCCGGGCACCTAAGCGCAAAAGAAAGCTTATCATAGCTAGTTCTTCCGAAGAAGACAACATCACGATTTTAGATATGGTTCAAACTAGAAGTGCTAGGAAAAAAGTAAAAGGCGGATCCTTTTCATTTTATTTGATTTATGTTATTATTATCATTATTTAGACCTCTCTTCTGTTAATTATGATAAATCTGTTTATTGATCGATTTTACCATTTTAGGCTAAAGAAAGACGAATCATTTCTGATTCCTCGGAGATTGAAGAATCCGTAGACGAATCCTTAGATTTGAGTGATGAGGAAATTTCAGAAGATTCTGACCAAATGATCACGGATGATTCAAATGAATCTACAATTGCAACTAGATCAAAGCGACGGGTGAATCGGATTAATTATTCGGATGAAAAGTACTTTAGAAGTCGTCTTGGTAATGATCCGGATGAACTAAAGAGAAGGAAGGAATCTCTCACCGAAAATAAAATCGATAAAGGGCGTTTTAAAATTTTATCATCTAAATTAAACAATTTTAACAACGTTGAAAGTCTAGATAGGAGAAATTCTGTAATCGTTTCAATAGATAACTCAAATTTTTTTGAAGAAAACGTGGATGATGAAATTTTAAAAGAAAATGATGATCCGAATGATTCTAGTGAGGAAGAATCTTTTACAGAAAATTCGAATAAAAATTTTGAAGACGACGATTATTCTGAAAGTGATCAATCTAATCCGATGATTGACCCTATTTCATCTACAAGAGCAAATAATTCACAATTTATTGCTGCACATCTTGATTGGTGTAAAAAATGTGGTGGTTCTGCGAAAAGATATAATAGTGAAAAGGGACCGTTGGTTTTGTGTGAATATTGTTCTAATTCTTACCATTCGACCTGTTATTCTAAAAAAACGACAAATGCAAAAATTTTATGTCAGCAATGTAGTAAATCGGATTCACATATATCTAGATGTATGGTTTGTCACAAGGAACCTAGTAACAAAGAAAAGAACTCGGAAAGTGATGAAGATTTACAAAGGCCAATTAAAGATGTTGCGATTAGCTTAGATCCGGAGGATTCTCAAGTTTTTTTTAGATGTTTACGTTGTTCTCAGGCTATACATGAAAGTTGCCTTCCGTTTTTGAACGAGGAAGAATCGCTGAGTGAAAAAATGCAATCATATCGAGAATCTTGGAACTGTCATCTGTGCCTGAAATGGGAAGATAAAATAGATAAAATTTTGACGTTTAGAAAGATATCTGTAAATAGTAATAAAGAGGGATCAATGGAAGTTTCAAGATCTCAAATTGAGGAAATAAATGCAGATTCTGATAATATTGAAGATTATGAATTCCTTGTAAAGTTTGAAGATGTGTCCTATCTTCAAGTTGAATGGGTGCCTGGTCCTTGGGTGTTTGGAATTAGTCCAACCAAGTATAATAATTATGTTAAATCACAGCCGGATCCATTGACAAAAGAGGAAGCAATTAAGAGTTATTGGACGAAGATACATCGTATACTTGATGTACAATTTAAAAATGAAGTAACCTTACGTGAACAACTTGAGAACCGGCATAAAAATTTGGGTAAAGGTGTACCAGTGCAAGCCTATGTTAAGTGGAGAGGTCTTAATTATGCTGATGGTAGATATATTTTTCTTATATTATTCGGTATTATATCGGGAATTTTTTTTTAAAATTTAATAAATTAATTATCCTCCAATTAGCCACTTGGGAACCCATAAAAAATTTAGATAAAAAAAAGTTCGAAAAGGCCTATCAGATTCGGAAAAATTCATATGCAATTAAGAAGCCCGATATCTTTGTAAATAGAACATTTATTCCACATAAAGTTCAACCCTCATATCTGAAAAATAAAAAACATTATAATACTCTTAAGGATTATCAGTTAGATGGGGTGAAGTAAGTTTTACTCGTATCATTATTATTATACTATTCATGGAAATATAGCCCCTAATCTTCAAAAATTTTCTAGCTGGTTGTTACATAATTGGTGCAATGAGATTTCTTGTATTCTCGCAGATGAAATGGGCTTAGGTATAATCTGTTATCAATATAATATTGTTCATTATTTTAAAACTTCAATTTATGTTAATCTTTCAATTTTTTTCAATTTTTTTTTATAAAAGGGAAAACAATACAAATCATTGTTTTTATTTTGATTTTATTTAAAGAAAGGAATTGTTACCCATTCCTTATTGTTGCACCAAAATCTACTACAGCTGGTTGGTCTCGTGAATTCAAAAGATGGGCAAAGGAATTGAACGTTATTGAGTATCATGGAGATGGAGAATCATTAAAGGTTGTTGAAGACCTTGAAATGTTTCCTGACGGAACCAATCTAAAATGCCATGTAGTTATCACAACTCCAGAGGCAATAATGCAACACACCAATACATTCTTAAAGGTTCCTTTATGGGAGGTGTTGGTTGTTGATGAAGCACACAGTCTAAAAAGGGGACAAGAATCTTTACTTTTCAAAGCCTTGAATACAAAGCTGAATGTATATCATAAAGTATTATTAACAGGTAGTTTATATAGATTAATTAAAATTTAAAAATCTTTATTTTATAATTCAAAAAAAAAAATCTCGTTATTTAGGCACGCCGATGATGAATTGTATTGATGAACTCTTTAATCTACTCAAGTTCCTTGGTCATAAGGAATTCGAAAATCCAAAGGAATTAGCGGAAGAATATCAGGGCCTACCCTCGGCAGATCAATTGCCTGCTTTACATAAACTACTTAAATCTTACTTTTTGAGACGCACAAAGAGTCAAGTTAATTTAGGCCTTCCACCTATGGTAATTATCCAAAAAAAAATTTTTTTTAAAAAACTTCTATTATGTTACCTTTAATTCTTATAATTAGTATAATATTATTACTGCTATATAGGATGACATTATAGTTCGTGTTTCAATGACTCCAATACAAAAGACAATTTATAAAGAAACACTTGAGAAAAACGCAGATTTTCTTAAACGTGTTGCTAGGACAAATCGATCTACAGGCTTTACAAATATTTTAATGAGTTTAAGGCAGATAGTTTGCCATCCTTATATAATTAATCGTGAAGAAATTGATCCTGATGATGAAAGGACTAAAGAGCAAGAGGAGAATCGTAAGAAGAAACTTGTCGAAACGAGTGGAAAGTTGATCCTTTTACGAGATATGCTAATAAAATTACATGGCAAAGGACATCGTGTACTTATATTTTCTCAATTTGTCTCAATGCTGTCTATATTGGAAGAATTCTTGGAGGACTTAGGATATAAATATGTTAAGCTTGTAAGATCAAAATTTCCATCCGATTATTTTTTTCTTTCCTTTTTGTAAAAAAATGCTTTAATGGATCAATACGTTTATAGGACGGCAGTACCGACAATGAAATAAGGCAACATAATATTAACGCATTTCAGGCTTCGGATTCTGACATATTTGTTTTCTTATTGTCTACGCGTGCAGGAGGTGTTGGACTAAATTTGAGTATGTTTATTATAAATTTAATTGTGAAGGATTAATTCGTTTTTGATTGGTACTAAATACGTAAAAATTTAATGATTCTTAGTGGCCGCGGATACTGTTTTTATATACGATCCTGATTTTAATCCTCATCAAGACATACAGGCTATGAGTCGCGTTCATCGCATCGGTCAATTTAAAGTAATTATCTTGTTGAGGAATTTTTAGTTATAAAGTTAATTTATTAAATCCATAACCAAATATACGATTTTTCTAGCCTGTTAAAGTTTTTAGGTTTATTACGCAATTTTCAATCGAAGGTAATAAATTATTAGTATTGATAATATTATTTACTATTATGATTATTATAAGGCTAAGAATATAAATTTCCATTAGAAAAAATTGTCGAAAAGGGGAAGATAAAGCTTGCGAAAAATGAACTAGTTGTGGAAAAAATGGATAATGAAGTTCTTGATGTCAAAGAAGTTGACGATATTATCCGTTATAGTGCTAAGGCTTTATTTAGCGAAGACAATAATGAAAAACCCGTAGGACCATATACCGATGAGGCCATTGAGAAGCTTCTGGATCGTAGTCAGATGAAAGCAGCAGAACAAGTGACTGAATCCAAGAATCTAACAGGTTTTGCGTTTGCAAGAATTTGGGACACTGTAAGTCAAGAAGTAGTGGAAGAAAGAATCATTGCGAATGTAGATGGTGAAGAATCTGTTGAATCGAGAGACTTCTGGACCAAACTTTTGGCTCACGTTGCAACTACTGCGTCTGCTGAAGAACCTTTACAAGGCAGGGGAGCTCGGAAGCGAAATCGAGTAGTGAGTAATCTATATACGTTATCATTTTGTGGTTAATAATAGCAAACTAATTATATTGTTTCTTTCAGGATTATTATGAAGGAGATATATCAACTTCCAGAAAGAGAATGGGAAAGAAACGCTCAATAGATCCAGACTTTATTCCTGTTGAAAAGGAAGATATTGTTTCATCGGAAACGGATACAGAAAATGAGGTGGAGGATCCTAGTGTTCTTGATATTTCTGGCAGAAAGCCAACATCTTTTAAGGGTTTACTTACGGGAAGGAAAAACGATGATGGACAAAAACCGAAGAAATCAAGACAATCAAGACCAAATGATGATATGAACAATATTACAACGATGGTGACTGGATCTGGTTTTCACGATATTAACAATATTACCACCATTCCTCCAGATCACCACATTGTAACCGGGCCAACTTCTAATACGCCCGAAATGTATAATTATAGTACTCCAATGCCATATTACCAATACCAATGGTGTTATTACCAAAATATTAATTATGCTTATAGTATGCAACAACAACAACAACAACATCAGCATCAGCATCAGCATCAGCAACAACATCAGCATCAACAGCATCAACAGCATCAGCAACAGCAACAACAGCAAATGCAAATGCAATTGATGCAATCAATGCAATCGCTGCAACACCAACAACAACAGCGACAGCAACTACAACAGATAGTATCATCTCATCACACATCTGTAAATAACACGACAGATATGACTGTTTTTAATAGTAAAGTGGCTTCAACTATAGAGGTGGATCACAATTTACCTCAACGAGAAAATCAACTAGTTAATGTTATTACGATTGATTCTCCGACAACTCCGCCTAATACTTCTGTACAACCTAATGTGGAAAAGGATAATAACCCTGTGCATCCTGTAATGTCAAAGCAATCCGAACATCCCAACTTACAATTAACAGTACCGCAACATCAGACTCTATTACAACAAGCTCCGTACCAAGCGAAAACTCCTAATATGAAATCAAAATCAGTTAATTCGAACTCTCGGGGTGTTATAATTCGAGAATTAAATGTTGAAGCACTGAAAGTGAAAATCGATAAAGCTTCATCATCCAAAACCAATAATAATGATGATAAGCAATCGAATCTACAAAATCAACAGGAACCAATTGTCATCATTTCTGATGATGATTTGGAACCACAAGACTATCACATGATACGACAAAATGGGGAACGAAAAGTTTTAGAAGCGAATAATATAGTATCTACTCCAGTTTCATCTAATCCAGCAAATGTGAAAACACCAAAGAACAAAGGGAAACAAATTGTTTTAAATAAAAATAATTCCGACAGAGGTTATGAAGATATCGAAGAATTTGTGCGATTATTTGATGAAATACAAAGGAGCGATGAAGATTTTGGATTAAGGCAGATTGCTATAACAAGATTATACCATAAATTAACTTCATTAGGTTTTAATATTGAAGGCCATATAACAAGCTTAGCAGCAAGAGGTAAATTGGATCATGAACTTTTGAGATCATTTAGAAATTCATGAGGTTGTATCTGATAACTAGTTTATTAGAAAACTGTATAGTATTAGAGATAATTTGTTAAGAATTGGTCTTGATATTATTCAATCTTATAATAATATACTTTGGTAGATTTTTTAAAATTTTTTTATGATTTGCGGGAGAGGGAATTATCTTAATAATAAATGAATAAAATGGCATTTTCTTTTCATCAATTGTATTTTTTTTAAAATATATATATATATATATATATTTGTTTTGAATTATAGTAATAAATTGCAATCATCAATTTCATAAATTATATTGTTTTAATTAATAAACTAACTAGTATTATTAGTGAAAAAGTTTTTTTGTTTTTTCTGACCTCTCAACATTACTCTACAACAGACATGACTCAGCAGATTCTAATAATATATTTCCGGAATATTTCTTTGGTAATATCATCCAGTCATATTTACTCAAAAATATTTTATGGTTATCCGCCGGTTTGAAATTTGTAGTCTAAACGGAAGTTTAAAGCAAAATATCCAACTACCCAAAAATCATTAACAAAAAAAATCATTACGATAGAACAATATCTCAAATTTTACCAAATACTAGAGTGCGAATAATTTTAAAGGGTTGTCCCAACTTTACTGCAGTCTCAATCGCTTGTTACAGTAATAAGAAAATTAAAAATGTACTTACACCTATTTTGTCGGAAAATTTAGGTAGATCTAACTTGCCCGATGAAAATTTTTTGGTGATGATTCATTTAATTAGAGCCTTTCATTTGCAATATTAATACAATAATATATTTTTCCTGATTCGAATTCCAATATATATGATTTATACATGAAAGTTCTCGCCCATACTAGGGTATTAGGAAAAGAGAATTCTAATCGATTGGAGTTCCATTAAAATCGATCGAATTTTAAACAATTGATATTTATTGATTTCAATAATATAATAGGATCACAAATAAATTCATTTCATTTATTGCAGAGAAATTAAATTCATCGTCATTATACAGTCAATTTATTCATAGCATCAAACCTGAAATGGCAATCCTTTGCTCTTTATTTCTTTTAATGGCATTATAAAAAAAAATGTGTAAGTTTCTCAGAAAGATGTTTATATGTAATGCAGAAATCATGATCGGTTCTCATGACAGACAAGACGATATTTCATACCATCAAACATGACCTCGCCTGAAACTTTCCAGCTCCCCACATTTCTAAACCCATGAAAAGTTTAGCAGCAAATATGCTGTTATCCATTCACTGCTTTTTAATGTCGCTAAGGATCCAATAGTCTTTGTATTCTATCAAATAGTATTAAACTGCACTAATTCCAGCATTTGTGAGCTCGTAGAGGCTTTTTGTAACCAATAATCTAACAGAGAATCTTTTGCAATGCCTTATCGGATCCACGAAGCCATTGGTTTAAAGTTTTGCACTTTTCTTGTTTAATCACATTGCACCATCAGTAATGTATTTACCTTGTATTGGAAATACGATACATCCACTCGTTTTGGCAAAATACCCCGCAACAACAAGTGAAATAAATAGTCGTTCCAGAGCCGCCGGGATGTCGCAAAACTTTGGTGAACGAGCATGCAGTTGTTGAGATACAAAAACCATTTTCATATGAAGTAAAATATTACTCGTTTCTCTTCGAAAATTACGTGTGATCTGGGAATTACAAATTCTTTATCATCCCACGCTGATAAAACAAGTTCACCCTCTACTGGAATATCTAAGCTAATAAATGGCAAGATACCTAGAAATGAGTTATATTCCTACCATTCGAATCAGTTCTTCGACGGTTATATAAATTGCTTCTAATCTCGAGATTATAATAAACTACAATATTCGTTTTTCGTGGAATTTGTCAGCATACCTTTCACTCACCATCATTAGCAGGGTCTTTTGAGTCGAATGGAAGGAATAAATAACAGATAGAGTTTACTCGCTATGTAAGTCGGTACTTACCACAAAAGACTATGCGGTTCTAAGTCCACTTCTTCACCAGGTCTTCACAGTAAAATTTTATCAACGTCAACGTTGCCCAATTCGTGTGAATTTTTCTTCTTTATCTCCAAGTCTTCAACAATTCCTCCGCCGAATGTGAGCCTAGTTGGTTGTCCAGTTCCATATCGAAACCATATTTGATATATATATAGTCACTTGCTTCAGACATTTCTTTCCTTTTAGTCTAGAAAAGTTATTTATCAATCGGAACCGATCAATTAATAAACAATGGTTTTGAGTCTAATACTAAAATGTAACTGATGTGGCTAACGACACGGTAAATTTTCCGATAAATCATATCATAAAAAGCTAAAGATTAACTTTCCTATAGAAACTAGTATTTACGTGAATTTTTGACCAACGATGCGATGCAATGAGTGGTAAATAAATATATATATATATTTAATCTTGATTAAACAAGTTACACGATGTATGCATTAATTTAATGACAGATGTTAATTCGATTTATTCAAATTCTAAAAAAAAGGTGTCATTTACAATAACCAATCTTTTTTATAAGTAAGCCATAAGGTTTTAAATCATCATCACTTCGAGATACCCAATATTCATCACCACCTTTTCTAAAAGATAACCTAACCAAAGTCTTTGGATTAACACGATTTTGTAACAAAATCAAATATTTCGAACCATTATAAATAAAAGTATGAGAGTATAATGAAGCTAAATTAATATCAGGGGTTGTATAAATTCCATGACCAAAATTAAATTTATGACGTTTACTATGAATCAATCCAGCATCCGCGATCGTTTTTGATTTACGCGTTGACGTTCCATGATAAGAGTATGGCCATGTTTTGTATATCGAATGTTTTTCGGTTGATGAAGGGGTTAAAGGAATTCTTTTCCAATCACATCTTCCTTGAAGTTTTTTGTGATGTTTTTCATCCAAATGATGTATTGAATTTAAGAAATCAGAATTTAAGAATTTTATAGAATCCAAAGAACCACGGACTTCCAAATAGATCACGTTATCATGACTAATATCATAATCCCCTAATCTCTTGGAGTTTAAAAGGTGTCGACCATTAAATATCAAACGCTGAGAAATGGTATCAGGTATGTAACCAATTTCTTGAATTCGTTCCTTTAATTCTTGAACGGTGGTTTTACCGGTTAAATTTTCGACCAACCATTTAACCCCAGTTAAAGTTTCAATGCTAACACCAAACGGAACGTTTTTGTCAACATGTTGGTGATGAGATGATATTATTCCACCACTCAAGTAAGCCTTGTAAAATATTTGGAAATCCAGTTGTTCGTAAGTCTAGTATCATTGTCATCTCTTGATAAATACTCGTAATAAGTTATGACAGGGAAATTAGTGATAGATGTTAAAGCGGAGGCCACAACCGCTGCGGAATCAGATGGGAATGGTTTAGGTGTTCTATCGTATTCCTTATATTGCGACCACTGCTCTATTTCGATGAAAACGTAAAGGCCCAAAAATGATGAACACAATGACATGCATAATAATAATAATAACCTGTTTTCATTCATATTCTAACAATTTCTTTTTTTTTTTTTTTTTTTTTAAAAAAAAAAATTGAATAATATTTTGTGGTGTCACTTGGAGATAAAAACTCAACGTAATAAAAAAAACTTTGTCAGTATTTATAGTGAGGAAAGGGAGAACGAAAATGGTTAGTCACTTTCTATTAGTGGATTAACGTTTGGTAACTTTGTACTCTAATTGGAATGTTTGTGTAAAATTTAATCTCAATAATCACGGAAATGATCTATCGTGTAATGATTGACGTTGGTGGAACCACGGTAGTTACCTGAAAAAGACATCTTAAAAATACAAACATGTCTCCAAAACATCAAATTTACTTGGATCGTGCAGAATTTCGATCATTACTTAACGACACCACAACTGCAAACATCCTTTTGTGCGTCGATATACTACTGGATTCTTTAAGAAAAATTTCAAATTATTAGCTCATAAAGACGATGAGAAAATAAGTGAATATTTATTTCATGATTACAGTTGCAATAAAGAGATCGCAATCTTCAGATTGCATGAATATAAAGGACAGGAAAATGTTGAATTGTTATACGATAGCGTGGATTTTCAGAATTTTATTGCTTTTATGTAATTCATTCACACTTTTTTTATAATACATTTCAATTAAACCTCTTTAAAAAAGAAATTATTTTTTATTGTACTTTTCAGATCCGATCGAAACAAATGATCAATTGTGCTCGCATACTTGGCCTGTAAATATAAATTTGACATTCCAGAATTGTTTGATTTTTGTGATACTAATTTATATAAAGTGGTGAGTATTGATTATTAGAAATTACGTTCTTTGAAAAGATGATAAGAATTGTTAAAAATTATCATTTTTTTTATCCCAAGTGGAATAAACAACGATGGCATGTCATCCTCAGTGTGAACAAGTGGTTGGGTTTAAAGAAAT